AGAAAGCTGGATCTTTGAAATAAACTCCATGTCCACATGACATTGATCACAGTATTTGTTTTTGGTGGATCCTGAATTTGGCGTTAGAATCTTTCTCAACACACTTCTAGCAGCCCTGATCAACTGATGAAACTCCTTTGCATGGTCTGGCATTATAACAGAGGAGAGGATTTGGATTACACGTCCAGCACCAGCTCTGTTATCTACTTAGCTCTGTGGCCTTAACAAGGCACTTGGCTCCCCTAAACCTTAATTATAAAATGGGACTGATATTTACTTTGTGGGATTGTACAAAATGAGCTTAACTAGCACCTCCCCCATAGTAACTAATGATTGTCTTACTCTCCTGTATAATATTGTCATTAGGTCTGATAACTGTGTATCAGTAACCTATAGGGATATTAAGTGAACACTAGAGTGCTTAAAATCTTCCACAGGAATTCAGAGCAAACTCAAATTGGCAAGCATTGGTGGTTGTCAAGTTGGCAACCTACCTTCTTCTAGGACAAGAATATATGTGGACTCTCATGAGTAGGGAAATATAGGAGCCTACCATGCATTACTTCTTAATAGCTGCCAGTGTAAGCATGGAAGGGGTATTTCAGGAGTGAAAGGTCCATGTACCCTATGGGAAATATGCCATCATTTGCCAACGGCTGAAGGCTTCCTCTCACAGAGGTCCTAAACCAAACGGCAAGAACTTCTGCCACCACTAGGAGGCCCCAGAGGGACATACTCTGAATAGGAATGCCAGTAAATATGGTCTCTTTTTTTGGGGGGCAGCTGTTGGAGGAAACACCTGCCGAAAGTCCCTGAAGGCTTATAGACAAAAGGCATGTAGATTTTGGTGTTTTCAGCAAGTAGATCATGTAGGAGTTTTAGAAATATCTGAGAAGTATCTCATGATCCATCTTCACATAAAGAGTGTGGTGTCTGAGTAAGCCCTATTGACAATTATTTGTGAAGCTGAATCTTGTTAGAAGACCCAAAAATAAGCAAATGAGAGATTACCAGTATCTAAACGAGGTACCAGATTACCTGGTAAATGGGTGTTTAAATCATTTAAGTAGTGTATGAGATGCATGTTAATGTGGAATCTAATTCTTGATTTAATAATCATCTTTTATATCCTACAGGCATTTAAAAGAAATGCACTTACTATGAACACCAACTTCTGCATCTGCCTGATCATATTTAAAGGAACAGAAGAAATGTTTGTAATTAATCTGCCCAGTAAATACCAGATCATAGCACTAGGCAGGTGCCGGTCTAGATAAAATTTCTTGCAGCTAATTTAAACTTTCTACACACACCAGTAGATAATCTCAATGTAAATAATACATTTCTTCTTGACCCTTTAATGTAAGCCAACATGTAGAAGAGGATATTAACTTCTTTTCTCTATCACATATACTTCTGTATACTTTTAGCATTTGTGGATAGGGTTTTTGGATTTTTTTTTTTTTTTAGTTGATTGTGGGTAGATTTTTAAAGCATTTATGAAAATGGCACTTTAATAAAACTATGTTTTAAAACTCAGATTAAATTTAATGGCAAATGGAATTCGGTATCATTTTTCCATGGAAGGCCCCAAATGAGTATTAGATTCTTTTTAAACTTTTAAATTTTTTCTAAAAGTTTATTGTGTATCCACTATCTCAGGGGTGTGTTTTTATCCTCTAAGTTATTTCTGTGCTTATACCGAAGAACTATTTTCCAAGTTTTAAAATTTTCACACCTCCTTTTATAAAATTGTGGAATGTATTTTTCAGTACAAGTTGTTCTTAAACTGAACTGCAGACTCTACTGAATTTAAAGAAAAGATCTTTTTTATGGGGCATGTAATCACCTCCAAATTATTTTGAAGCATTAATTTCAATTTCTGTTTTTCTGTGGTGTTATTTTGTATCATCCTCATACTATCACAAAATAAAGGGGAAGTAGGAATCACAGGATGTGTTATAAATTGATAACTTTTTTTTAAGACCTCTGTATTTTTCTTTGACCATTTCTACGGGGAAAAAAATGCTACTCCCTTGGTACTTGCCCTAAGTCTTGACAAAATTTGTACATTATTTTATCATGTAAATAAAAATACTATATGAAAATCTGAAACAAAATTTAACTTAAGTTTGAAAATAACTGATCTTCCATTTAGAGAAACTTCAGATTTACCTCTTAAAATGAAAATGAGTTTTTAAAAACTATTAAATGACATGGATAGTAAATAATAACCCAAGTAACTATTAAATCTAATTTCCTTCAGTAATGATTTTTTGGTACTATTTAAATAAGATTTTAAAGATAATCAGTCTGCTAAATATTAAGAACACTTTATGATACAGTCCTTCTAATAGGACATTACCTAAGTACACCAGAAAGGATAATTCCTTTGTGTTCTAGCATTGCAAAGCCAAAAGCATATAAAGAAACATATTAGTCAGGAAATAAAGGGTTAAAAAGTAGATTGGTTGCATATGTAATACAAGTTATGTAGGTATGTGCTTAATGCTATTAAGTCAGTTACTGTATGTTTGACCTCGATACACTAAGCTTTTGCCTTTCAGAACAGCTGGGTCTGCTAAGAATCATTTCCCAGTTCTCTTCATTGTAGATCAGATGACTCTCGCTTTATCACCCTTGGAGGCCACATGAAGGACAAAGCAGAAAGATCCACAGACAAAACTAATGTTTATATGGGGGGAAGGGGGGTGCGTCATGGAGGAAGGCGGGGGGATACACTTGGCCCTGATCTTCCAATGAACATAACAGAAGAGAGACCAATTGAGACTTGAAACCCCTGTGTTACTCCAACCATTATTTAGTTACATCCTATCCATCTTTTACTCCTTCTATTGAACAGAGAGGCTTCTTTGGCTGCCTTGACTTTTGTAAATGTTTCACTCACTTAGTTGTGGTTTATCATTTGGACAGAATGCTACATCTGGGATTTTTCTCCCCTCCTTAACGCCTCATGGGAAAATGGCTTCTGTATGCTTCATATTTGATACATGAACATACACCCTGTTCTCTTCATTTTAAGAAGCAAGCCTAAGTTTATTGGTAACAGAGAAAACTGCATTTTTCAGACACAGCCCTTCCCTCTAAAATGAACTTGAACATAACTTAGAAGGGTTCATTTCCTAACAGGTATATTGGTGAAGTAACTGAGAAATCTTCAGCATGTTTGCATTACTTACATATATTAAAACATCCCAATAACCCTGAGTATAGCTGAGAGAAGTACTTTGGAATTGCCTATTTCTGTGATCATAATTCATCAATGGACATTTTTGGTATTCTGGAACCTAATCCTTCAAAGTTCAAAGTGGACTCTTAAATTGGTTTCTAATGGATATAAGAGATACTTGACTTATAATTGCTGCACGTCTCCATAAAAGCTACACAGTTACTCGATATGATTAAATTATGTAAATTATTAATTATCTAAATTACCTAAAATGTGTATTTAGAGGATTTACCTGTAAGATACCTTGAATATGGGTACATTCTATTTTATTAATATTTATATAATATACTTTTATTTTCAAATAATGTTTCTCTGCTCCAGTTATTTAGAAGTTAGGACTTTCTCATCACTGATTTAAATCAACATCCTTTGTTAAACCCATGTATGCTATTACAAAAATAAAAACTAAAAAAATAGGAGTACACCAGCCAGCCAAGATGCTGACATTTGGGCACAGTGATTACAGATGGTGACCATGGACAGCGATATTCCTGCTGATTCGGCAGTGATTCAAGGCTGCTTTTCTGTGCTGACCTGCCCTTTGAGTCCTTATGCACATTTGCTTTGAGAAAGAAATACTTCCTGATTTTTGCTTTGTCTAAACCTACTTCCTTTATCAGACGTAGAAGCATATACCTTCTTGCAGCCTGTCTGTGTCTAGAACCAGATTTTCTTTGTGTCTCTGTGTTCAGTGTTTTAAAATATATCACCACTTAGTCAAGGTACTTTAATGAATGGCTTACGAAAGAAATATATTCATTTAAAAAAAAGGTTGATGTGAAAATAATTGTTTTATTCTTACTACAGAAACTGAAGAAAACACATCTTTTTTCCCCTGCCCTCCCAAAAGAACAATCTTTACATAAAAAACTATAACATAGATAGGATATGTTATTTTTACCAATTGAATATGATAGCAAAGATGAGCTTCTCCTAATATAGAATGATATGTTATTAACAGAGCCAAGTTAACATGAAACATGATATGAATCAATGCTTATGGAAGTGGTAATCTTGAACCACTCAAAAAAGATCAAAAGGATGAAATCCTGTATAAAACCATTTAACTTGAACAGAATGATCCTGGAAGTTTAGAACTAGTGATCATGAGTAATTAAAAAAAAATCACTCAAACCACTTAAATTCAGTAAAATTCACCGTTTAATTACATTCAAGTAGATCAGCATTTCTGAAATAAGAATATGATCTAATCTCTCTGCCTTGTTATAAAGAAATCAAATTTACACATGTAATAAGGCATGTTCAAACTTTAAGCCTATAAATTTCTCACAGTAATTAAAAAGATCATCACAAATTTAATCCCTGAGATATAATTTCTAAAGAATGAAATACACATTACTTGCATTCTAAAATGTAAGGAAAACTAAATTTAAATACCAAAATTAGTGATTTCCTTTAAAAAGAAGGGCTGGATTCTTCCAGTAAGCTCACTGGGTTTGCAGATTTCTTTTTAAGACAACAAACTGTAGAGGTACATTCCCTGAGTAAACACTGGGATTAAGGGCCTTTTATTTTCCCACTTGGATAACTGAACATTAATAAAACTACAATGTCTTGACCACTACACAGTTAGAAAATAAAAGCCTCCGCTGGGCTTGGGTCCCCATATACATTTACTTTGTATATAGACAACAATGACTTTTCGCCATTTTTCCCCTATAATTTTCGTGATTCTCAAAATGATAATTTCATTTATATGTAGCAAAAAAGTTCAAAAAAAAACTTTCAGCACTGTTAATATTTTCACGTTTATTTGTGGAAATAAAGCTAGTTGGTTTTCTTCTGATTTCTTCCATTTTTGGAATCCCACATGATTATAATGTTAAAATATACCAAGAAGAACAGGAAATTCAAGCAGGATAAAAAACAAACCAATACAGAAAATAAGTCCGGTAATTTCTGAGGAGGTTCCAGTGTGACAGTTATCAGTGTCAGAAGTACCATAGTGATGACTGAGATAAGAAACTATAAGAAGGGAAAAAAACATTATTGAGTAATATAAAAGACAGAATTTAAATGCACTGGTAACATTTACTTATAGCTGTAAGTGAACAGAACTGAAGGTGAGGGGTGGGGGTCCAATCTCTTCTACTGGTGGATCTCAACCTAGGCCACATGTTAGAACCATCTGGGGGATAGGTATAAAAACCTCAATGCCAGACCACACTTCAGACGAATTAAATCAGAGTTTCTGGGGTAGGTCCTAGGATTTAAAAGCTTACCAAGTGATTCCTATGTATAGCCAAAGCCTCAGGATACCTTTCATACTTAATACCACCCACGTACTAACAAAAGTTACCTGGAATAGACAATATTGCTAGTCAGGGTTAAATTTAGGGTATGCTCCAGGACCTTGAGTCCCTATAGGATATAAAGTTCTAAGCTAATCTAAGAACCTGTCTATAAAAAAGCCTTCCATGGCAAATAGAAAATTATATTTCATATTCATGGAACACTTTCGATGGACTAATGCTGCAGTAAGTCAGGGTGGAGCATATGAAAGAAAATGTAATCTTGCCTCAAAGAGTTTTCAGTTTAATTGGAAAAATGGAGGAACTAATTAAATAAAATCACAAGGTCATATTTTATTAAATGCCAAAATGAGTAGTAAAGATACTTCATTGATTGTAATTATGTAGCAGTTCAGTTTTCTTTAGTGTACTGTACAACAGAACTTTCTGCAATGATGGGAAAGTTCTATACCTGTGTACATCAAGAGAGTAACTGCTAACCACACATGTGGTCACTGAGCAGGCAAAATATGCTTATCGTGACTGAGCTGAATTTTTTATTTTATTTAATTTTACTAAGTTTAAATTTTTAATGTGTCTAGTGGCTACTGTATTAGACAGGTTTTTTTTTAAAGATTATTTATTATCTGAGCGAGAGAGTGTGCATACAAAGAGGGGAGAAGGGGAGAGGAAAAGAGGAAAGAGAACCTCAAGCAGACTCCCTGCTGAGCACAGAGCCCCAAGCAGGGCTTGATCCCAGGATCCTGAGATCATTACCTGAGCCAAAATCAAGAATCATGCCTAATCAACAGAGGCACCCAGGCATTCCTACCATATTGGACAGTTTAGCTCTAGACTGTGAGCTCCTTTAAGACAAGGACCAGACAGATTTTATTCATTTTATCTTAGCATAGCACATAAGTACACAGAAGCTGCTTAAGTAAATGGAGAAAGCAAGCAGTGAGAAATCATAGTGACTCTCATGAAGGAGACGGGACATAAATGGAACCCTAAAAAATGTTTTAATGTCTATATTATAACAGGATTTAAAGATCCGAATAGAGTAATATAGTACTTATTCCAGATGGAAGCCTGGGAAGGATAATACCCAAAAAGCTCATAAATAGGTATAAATGGTATAAATATCCTCCAAAGGGAAGATCCCTGTCAACCTTAGTGAAAAGTGAAAACTTCTGAAGTGAAATAATCAAATTTAAAGTTTCAAACTTAAGGGACATCTTCATGGCTCAGTCAATTAAGCATCCAACTCTTGGTTTTGGCTCAGGTCATGATCTCAGGGTTGTGAGATAGAGCCTCGCATCAGGCTTTCCATTCAGCGCAGAGTTTGCTTGAGATTCTTTACCCCTCATTCTCCCCCAGCCCTGCTCCTCCCCCTTCCCACCTTAAATAAAGAAAATCTTAAAAAAAAAAAAGTTTCAAACAAGAAATATGGGACTGGTTGAAATGTCATGACACCATGATCCTGAATCAGCGTTGAGGGGCATGTTGAAATTCCTCCTGCTTTATTACTTTTTATTTTATTTTAAATATTTTATTTATTCATTTGAGAGAGGGAGAACACGAGCAGGGTGAGGGGCAGAAAGGGAAGCAGACTCCCTGTTTATCAGGGAGCCCAATGTGGGGCTTGACCCCAGGATCATGACCTGAGCGGAAGGCAGATACTTAACCAACTGAGCCGCCCAGGCACCGTAAAATTCCTCCTGCTTTAAACAAACTCCAGCTATTACCCCATTTGTCTACTTCTGTTTACAGCAAAGTTTCCCAGAGGAGTTTATTTAACTTACTGTATCCAATTCCCTTCCCATTCTTTACTGAATCCACACCAATTAAGATTTTTACCTCAGCTGCTCCAATCAAACTGCCCTGGCCAAAGATCCATAATGATCTCCACTGTACTAAATCCAATGGTTATTTCTTATTGCCTTATTTGATTTCTCAACAGCTTCTGAGGTAGCATATGCCTCTAATCTCCTTGAAACACTTCCTTCACTTGAATTCCATATCAGACTCTTCTGGGTTCTTCCCACCTCAATAGTTAATCCTTCTCAGACAACTTTGCTGGTTACTTCTCATGTCCCCTACCTCTGTGCACTGTAATATCCCAAGGCTCAGTACTTAGTCGTCTAATATACTCACACCTTTGGTGAGCTCATCTGTGACAGGACTAATTATTATCTCAATGCCAAAGACTCAAATTACTGGTCTCCAGCCTGGACCTCTCTCCCCTAAACTCCAGACTCATTCAAATGGATATGTAATAAGCACCTAAAACTACAAGTACAAGCTACCCTTGATAAGATTAACAGCTGACCTCTTATCAGAAAACACTGAGGCCACAAGGCAGTGGGATGGATAACATTCAAATTGCTGAAAGAAAAAGATAAGAATTCCTTTTCTAGCAAAAATACCCTTCAGGGTGCCTGGGAGGCTCAGTTGGCTTAGCAACTCAGGTCATGATCCCAGAGTTTTGGGACTGAGTCCCACGATCAGGCTCCCTGTTCAGCGGGAATCCTGCTTCTCCCTCTGATGCTCTACTGACTGAGCTACCCAGGCATCCTGACTACATTTTCTATGATTCCAAGTTATGGTCTGAATTATGTCCCCACAAAATTCATATGTTGTAGCCCTACCCCCCCAATGTGAATGCATTTGGAGACAAACTTTAGGAAGGTTATATTAATGTTAAATTGAGGTTGTAAGAGTGGGGTCCTAATTTGATAGGACTAGTGTTCTTTTAAGGAGAAGAGGCACCACAGGACTCTACACGCCCACACAAAGAAGAGGCCATATGAGGCCACAGCAAAGTTGCCTATAACCCAGAATTAGAGGCCTCACCAGAAACTGTGATGAGGCACCTTGCTTTTGGATTTCTAGCCTCCAGAACTATAAGAAAATACATTTCTGTTACTTAAGCCACCCAGTCTGTGGTATTTTGCTATGGCAAAGCAAACTAATACATAACATTTATATGAAATGTCCAGATCGGTAAATACATAGGTATAGAAAGTATATTAATGGCTGTCCAAGGCTAGAGTTTAGGGTGGAATGGGAAATGGCTGCTAATGGAAAGAGGGTTCCTTTTTGGGGTGATGGAAATAATCTAAAATTAGATTGTGGTCATGGTTGTACAACTCTGTACATACTTAAAAGCACCAAATTGCACACTTTAAATGGGTGGATTTTATGGGTGAATTTATGTGTATTAGATCTCAAAAAAGCTATAAAAGAGAAAGATATTACTTTTTTTTTTTTTTTTAAACAGTGGCATGCTGCGTACCATTCCTTAAAAATGAAACAACTCACGGCCAGCTATTGATTTCAGCTCAGGTCATGATCTCAAGGTTGTGAGACTGAGCCCCATGTTGGACTCCTCACTGGGCATGGCACCTGCCTAAGATGCTCTCGCTCCTTCTCTCTCTGCCCCTCTGCACACAGCACTCTCTCTAAACAAACAAAAAACAAACTGAACAACTTACCAAATATTGTATAATTCTGGGAAGAAATGTAAAACATGGAAGGTATTTCCTAACAGAAATGGAAAAGGATTTCAATTGCAGTTCTTCTTCAGAAGTCTTTTCAAATATTGAAAAAGAAGTTGCACACGCTATAAAAAATGCCATCGTTGTCACAACTGAAGGGATTAGGAGTTCATCCTTCAACAGAAGAGGTAGCATACTGTAAGGGAAAACAGAAAAAAACATCAAAAGAGAACTGCTAATTCAAAACATAGTCACTTTGTAAAAAATTTTTAAATGAGTTTATGAGAACTATATTGAAAATATATAAATATTGGTTTGACTCACCTAAATGTTGACACAAGTAAGAACCAAGTAGACATAAAAGGAATTTCACTTAAAACTAAGCAGACTGGTCTAAAATGATAAAGAAAAAATATCTTAATCTTAGGAAACAGAATTTCAATTCTTGTGAAAAATATAAATACATTATATCTGTCTGATCTTTGGGGTAGCTAAACAAACAAATAAAAAACAGCCAGTAAGGTCTCCATATAGATCACTGGTTCATTTTTTTGGTATCAGTCCAAACTCAGTGAGTCTAAACACAAACAAGGTATCAACGCCTCCCAATAACTGAAAAACTGCTTCTTCCAATATTCCATTAATGGAACTTTTTTTCCTTGTCATACAAACAGCAGCTTATAGAAAGGATCAGATAAGCAAATTCAAACATTCAGAGAAAGAGAGCTTTTTCATGTTGCGTCCTACTTGAGAAATAAATTAATTCCCAGTAGAGTGGTTTCAAAGTTCTTTTTTTATGACCCTCCATGTTACATATTACTAATCTAAGTTAAAAACTAAAGTTATAACCGACAGGATCGTCCTCTGCCATGGAATTGAGAACAATGGAGAAAGAAGAATTATAAGAGGAAACAAGTTGATTATGGTAGAAGATAAGAGGAAAAAACAAGTAGGAAGCAGTCAAACAAAAAGAGCAATAATATAGGAAGAAGAGGCATAATACCAATAAATGGAACTACAGGCTTTATGACAAAGCTTAGGGTCATAGGTCCCAATTCTGTGACCTCCTTACTTGCACCACTGACTCATTACCTTCTGGATTCTACTGTGGCAATGCTCGAGAAGAAGGGGACCTGGATGACCTTGAACAAATGATTAATTTAACCATCTTTCTTAGGTGTAAATGGAAATAGGAGTAATAATACCTTATATTGTTACATAATTGAAAGAACTTTTTTACAAGTATTATCTAACTTTTTAATAAAATAACTTTTACTAATGATGGCAGTTGTTGAATACTTGTTGCTATTATTATTGTTTTTATCATTATTATTTTGGGTCTCCTTATTTTATTTTTTAAAGATGTATTTATTTATCTGAGAGACACAGTGAGAGAAGGAACACAAGCAGGGAGAGTGGGAGAGGGAGAAGCAGGCCTCCTGCCAAGCAGGGAGACTGATGCACGGCTTGATCCCAGGACCCTGGGATCATGACCCAAGCCGAAGGCAGATGCATGATGACTGAGCCAGCCAGGTACCCCTTCGGTATCCTTATTTTAAAAGGTTTGAGCATTCTCCTCCTTTCTTAGAAGGATGACTTTTCCCCATATCAACCAGCATATGAAATGTAAGGCCTGAGATTACAAACTGATTGAAAACTACCACACTAAAAGAAAATACTAGAGGATTTTCAATTTCACTACCTGATGCCTTTTAAATCAGAACGTATTCGTTTAAAACATGCACATAGTAGCTGCTCAATAAATATTATTTTCTCTTTCTGGGTCTTAACTTTCCCATTTATTCATTCAGTATTCATTTTTTTTAGGATTTTATTTATTTGTTTGAGAGAGAGAGTGTGTAAGAGAGCATGAGAGGGGAGAAGGTCAGAGGGAGAAGCAGACTCCCCACAGAGCCAGGAGACTGATTCGGAACTCAATCCTGGGACTCTGGAATCACGACCTGAGCCGGAATCAAGACCTGAGTCAAAGGCAGTCACCCGACCAACTGAACCACCCAGGTGCCCCATTCAGTATTCATTTACCAGATACAAGTATTTACTAAAAACTTATGTACAACAACTGCTCTGAAAGGAATACAAAGAGGAATATAACTCAGCCCTTGACCTCAAGGTACTTAGTATTTATATTTAAGCAGCAAAATCCCCTGCATCCTAACCTCTTCTCTGAATCTTTTCCTTCACCACCTTGTTGAAAACAAACCCTTGCTCCCTTCGCCTGAGGAAAGTGCTGCCTCAGCCCTCTCAACCTCACCTGTTTTGTTGTAGTTTCCAAAGCCTTCAAACAACTTGACCCGGAGCGAGAGAACTTTTTTGGTCTCTATCACTTCTTCCACATCAGTTCTCCCCCTCTGTACCCTAACAATCTCCATGTCCTCAGGCTTTATCCCTGTTAGTCCTCATCTTTGTCATCATCCAACCACAAGAGTCACTTCCCTCATTACTCAGTCATTTCAACTTCTTACTCTCTACAAACCTATTCATCCTCATTCCTGGCAATTTTTACATAGATGATTTTCCAATACCCTGACATCTCATTTGCTGGAACTCCTCTCTTCAAATGATCTCATCTTTATTATCCTCACTAGACAAAACCACAAACCTAGAAAGACCTAACTCTCCTCCTGTACTTATTCCAAAAATACTGAGCAACTGCTCTTCAGGAAAACGTTTACCCACATTAACTGTTTCACTTTAAAGAATTATTTATTTTAAGAGAGAGAGCCGAGAGGACAGGCAGAGAGAGAGAGAGAGATAGAGAAAATCTCAAGCAGATTCCCTGCTCAAATGCGGAGGAGCCAGAGGCAAGGCTCATCTCACAACCCTGAGATCAAGACCTGAACCAAAACAGAGTCAGATGCTTAACCGACTGAGCCATCTAGGTGCCCGTTTTCACTTTAGATACGTGATCGTGATATTCGAGTGTCTAACAGCTACTGTGTATTTCTCTAGTCTGTTCACATGTGTCTCTTAAGAAAAATAATCCACACCTTCCCATAATCTCATAATCCCAACAGCTCCAACCTGCTCTTGCCTAATGACCTTGCCTTCCACTTCATTAAGAAAATTGAAATAAAAGAACTTTTACAGATCCCACCATCACATCACATCTCTTCTCAGCATCAGTACCAATATACCCTGTTGCCTCTTTTTATTAAAATGAACTATGCCTGCATCTGTCCAAAGCCAGTCCTTCCATTTATGCTCTGGGTCCGATCCCATCTCCCTTTCCAAGGGGTATCGCTTCAACAACCCTTAACTCCCTCCTGTACCATCAGTGTTCCCTCTCTACAGACCATTCCCACACCATTATTTCTCCTATCCTAACACCTTAAGCAACAAGCCTCACTTGACTCTAATTTCTCTACCAATTATTGCTTTTATTTTTTCTCTCCTTCTCAGCAAAACTTACCTAAAGAACTGTTTACCTGTCTCACACCATATATAAAAATGAACTCAGGGGCACCTGGGTGGCTCAGTGGGTTAAAGCCTCTGCCTTCGGCTCAGGTCATGATCCCAGGGTCCTGGGATCAAGCCCCGCATCGGACTCTCTGGTCAGCAGGGAATCTGCTTTCCCCACTCTCTCTGCCTGCCTCTCTGCCTGCCTCTCTGCCTACTTGTGCTCTTTCTCTATCAAATAAATAAAATCTTAAAAAAAAAAAAAAAGAACTCAAAAGGAATCAAAGACTTAAATATAAGAGCTAAATCCATAAACATCTTAGAAATAACACGAGAGTAAGTCTTTATTACCTGGGATTTGGCAATGGTTTGTTGGACATGACACCAAAAGCCCAAGCAACAAAAAGAAATAATAGATAAATTGAACTTCATCAAAATTAAAAACTTGACAGTTTTTAAAACCTTAAAAAATGCTCAACATTATTAGGGAAATGCAAATCAGAACCACAATGAAATACCATTTCATACCCCATAGAATGGGGCAGGGGTTGGGGGAAGGAAAATAACAAATGCTAGCAAGGATGCAGAAAAACTGGAAACATCATATATTACATTACTGGTGGGAATGCAAAATGGTATAACTGCTGTGGAAAACAGTTTGATGGTTCCTCAATCAGTTCAATACAGAATTACTATTTAACCCAGAAATCCCACTCCTGGATGTAGACTCAGGCGTACTGAAAACAGGGGTGCGTGGGTGGCTCAGCCAGTTGGGTGTCTGCCTTTGGCTCAGGTCATGATCCCAGGATCCTGGGATCTAGCCCCACTTCGGGCTCCTTGCTCAGCAGAGAGCCTGCTTCTTCCTCTCCCTCTGCCTGCTGCTCTGCCTGCTCGTGCTCTGTCAAATAAATGAATAAAATCTTAAAATTAAAAAAAAAAGGGGGGGTACCGAAAACAAATACTCAAACAAAAACTTATGCAGGGATGTTCATACTGGCGCTATTCACAGTAACCAAAAGGTGAAAACCCAAATGAACAAAATGTATAGCCACACAATGCAATAATTTTCAGGCATAAAAATGAAGTATTGGGGCTCCTGGGTGGCTCAGTGGGTTAAGCCTCTGCCTTTGGCTCAGGTCATGATCTCAGGGTCCTGGGATTGAGCCCTCAATCGGGCTCTCTGCTTGGGGGGAGCCGCTCCCACCCCTTCTGCCTACCTCTCTGCCTACTTGTGATCTCTGTCAAATAAATAATTTTTTTTTTAAAATGAAGTACTGATACTTGCTACAACATAGATGAACTTTGGAAATATTATATTACATGAAAGAGGTCAAACATAAAAAGCCAAATTTTATGATTCCAATTATATGAAGTACCCCAAATAGGCAAATCCAGAGACAAAAAGTAATTTAGTGGTTATAAGAATTGAGGGATGGGAAGAGAATGGGGATTGACTGCTTAAAGGGTACAAGATTTCCTTCTGGGGTCATAAAAATGTTCTGGAAGTAGATAGTGGTGATGGTTGCACAGCACTGTGACCACTGGTATATTTTGCCACAAATAAATTTTAAAAAATAATCTATAGCTATCTCCACTTTCTCTCTCATTATTTCTTTTTTTTTTTTTTTTAGATTTTTATTTATTTACTTGACAGACAGAGACCACAAGTAGACAGAGAGAGAGGAGAAAGCAGGCTCCCCACTGAGTAGAGAGCCCGATGTGGGGCTCAATCCCAAGACCCTGAGATCATGACCTGAGCTGAAGGCAGAGGCTTTAACCCACTGAGCCACCCAGGTGCCCCTCTCTCTCATTATTTCTTAAACCCATCTTAATCAGGCTTTTCCCTGCATCACTCCATCAACATTAGCCTTGTCAAAGTCACCAATGACTTCCATTTTGCTGAGGCAAATAGTCTGTTCTCAGCCCTCATCTTGAGTGATCATCTCGTGTTTTTTCCCCTCAGCTTTATTGATATA